GGTCTGGTTATGGAACTGTGTGTACAATTAACAAGGGAGGTGGAAAATGCAATCAAACAAAAGTACACTTAACTTGCCCAGTCTTATCTCCCCCCCAGCTTTTTATCATGAAAAATTTCAAATATACATAAAAGTAGAGAACTGTGTAATTAACATTCATGTGTCTATCTTCCGGTTTCAACAGCTGTCAACTCATAGCCTATCTTGTCTCTTTACATCCTCAATCATTCCCCTGCCTGCTTTCCTCAGATTCTTTTAAAGCAAATCACAGATATTAAATCATTTCTCTAATAAATATTTTACCGAGTGTTGCTCAGTCGTGTCTGACCCTTTGTGACACCATGGACTATACAGTCCATCGAATTTTCCAGGCCAGAATACTAGAGTGGGAGCTCTTCTCTTCTCCAGGGGATCTTAACCCAGGGATTGAACCCAGGTCTCCCACATTGCAGGCAGATTCTTTACCAGCTGAGCCACCAGGGGAGCCCAAGAATAGTGGAGTGGGTAACCTATCCCTTCTCCAGCAGATCTTCTGACCCAGGAATTGAGCTGGGGTCTCCTGCATTGCAGGTAGATTCTTTACCGGGTAAGCTACTATTTGTCTCTAAAGGATGAGGATTCCTCTTATAAAAGAGAACAATACCCTTATCCCATCTCTTTACAAAAAATATCTTCCACATAATCAAACATCTAGTCAGTCTTTACATTTCACGAATTACCTAGAACTAAAAAAAAACCATAACTGGTTATTTGAATTATTTGGCCCTATCTTTCTAAGGGCTGAAACTGAAGCTGAAACTCCAATACTTTGAAACGCCAGTACTTTGGCCACCTGATGCGAAGAACCAACTCATTTGAAAAGACCCTGATGCTGGGAAAGATCGAAGGAGGGAGGAGAGGGGATGACAGAGGATGAGATGCTTGGATGGCACCACTGCCTCAATGGACATGAGTCTGAGTAAACTCTGGGAGTTGGTGATGGACAGGGAGGCCTGGCGTGCTGCAGTCCATGGGGTCGCAAAGAGTTGGACACGAATGAGCAACTGAACTGATCTTTCTGATATTCTTGATCAAAACCTTCCCTTCCTGCTATGCTGGGCCATTCAAAGTCCTACCTAACGCACTTGCATCTCTGGTCTCATAGTCCTAACACTGCTCCCCATCCTTACATGCCATTTCAGCATCTTTCCCTTTTTCCCCACCTACTCAAATTTAACTAATTTTTAGGTCACGGTTAAACCATGCCACATCCATAAGAAGCCTACCTAATCATCAATCCAAGAGAGAGCGATTTCTCCCTCTGAAATCTTGGAGCATTTATTGTTTCGCTTCCTCTTTTTATTTACTGCCTGGTAGAATGGGTGGTTTTCCCACATCAATCATCATCCCAATTGGATTCTAAGTTCTTTGAGTGTCATAACTTGTAATTTTTTTGAATCTCTCCATAATTATTAGCAAAGCATTTTAGTTACAGTTGCTGTTCAAAGTACCCAATAATCAATGAACAACCTTCTGCCAGGTATATGAAGGAGGACTTCTGTTTTGAGAAGCCATCAGCATAGCCTCCTGCTCCTTTGTAAACATTCAGACCTCATTATGAAGGTAATTTTTCCAGCTTAAAGGCCCATTAGGAAACTGTATAAGCTGTGTGACTTGTTGCTTAGAAAAAGGCCTTCCCAAGGAAAGAAATCCTGTGAGGCAGACTGACTAAAGAATGGGCTTCCTAGTCTGCAGGTTGATGGCCATTGGCCCACTAAACAGAGACTTGTCAGGGTAGACAGCAATCTCACCACACTGAATCTGTGTTATGAAATGCAAGTCTGTGGCATCACTTTGGTTGGCAGAAGCTCGAGGTAAATCAGAAAGAGAGAATCCATTAACTTGTAACATATGGCAGAAGATGAGCTATCATCAATCTTGTTTTCAATAACACAGTATCAAGACCCCACTGGGTTCTCCAAACATGTTTCCTGAATAACAGTGACCTTCAGTTCAGTTCAGTTCAGTTCAGTTGCTCAGTCGTGTCCGGCTCTTTGCGACCCCGTGAGCCGCAGCACGCCAGGACTCCCTGTCCATCACCAGCTCCCAAATCTATGTCCATCGAGTTCGGGAGTCCACCCAAACCCATGTCCATCGAGTCAGTGATGCCATCGAACCATCTCGTCCTCTGTCGTCCCCTTCTCCTCCTGCCCTCAATCTTTCCCAGCATCAGGGTCTTTTCCAATGAGTCAGCTCTTCTCATCAGGTGGCCAGAGTATTGGAGTTTCAGCTTCAAAATCAGTCCTTCCAATGAACACCCAGGACCGATCTCCTTTAGGATTGACTGGTTGGCTCTCCTTGAAGTCCAAGGGACTCTCAAGAGCCTTCTCCAACACCACAGTTCAAAAGCATCAATTCTTCGGTGCTCAGCTTTCTTCACAGTCCAAATCTCACATCCATATATGACCACTGGAAAAATCATAGCCTTGACTAGACGGACCTTTGTTGGCCAAGTAATGTCTCTGCTTTTTAATACGCTGTCTAGGTTGGTCATAACTTTCCTGCCAAGGAATAAGTGTCTTTTAATTTCATGGCTGCAATCACCATCTGCAGTGATTTGGGAGCCTAGAAAAATAAAGTAGCCACTGTTTCCACAGTTTTCCATCTATGCCATGAAGTGATGGGACTGGATGCCATGGTCTGTTTTCTGAATATTGAGCTTTAAATCAACTTTTTCACTCTCCTCTTTCACTTTCATCAAGAGGCTCTTTAGTTCTTCTTCACTTTCTGCCATAAGGGTGGTATCATCTGCATATCTGAGGTTATTGATATTTCTCCTGGCAATCTTGATTCCAGCTTGTGCTTCTTCCAGCCCAGCGTTTCTCATGATGTACTCTGCATATAAGTTAAATAAGCAGGGTGACAATATATGGCCTTGACGTACTCCTTTTCCTATTTGGAACCAGTCTGTTGTTCCACGTCCAATTCTAACTGTTGCTTCCAGACCTGCATAAAGGTTTCTCAAGAGGCAGGTCAGGTAGTCTGGTATGCCCATCTCTTTCAGAATTTTCCAGTTTATTGTGATCCACACAGTCAAAGGCTTTGGCATAGTCAATAAAGCAGAAATAGATGTTTTTCTGGAACTCTCTCGTTTTTTTTGATGATCCAGCAGATGTTGGCATTTGATCTCTGGTTCCTCTGCCTTTTCTAAAACCAGAGTGACCCTCAGTAACTGCCAAAATTCCTGCCCCACATCCTGCAAACGCCTGTGTGCATGTACTTGCGTGGTTAAGAGGGCAGGGTTGACATTGCTCTAGAAGCACCTAATCTCTCCACCAACGGGGTGTGGAGAGGTAGAGGTGTGGGGTGTGGGGAGGCAGAGAGCAGCACAGCCATCTGACAGATGTGAAGTGACAGCTCATGTGGTTTTGATTTGCATCTCTCTGTTGATTAGTGATACCAAGCATCTTTTCATGTACCTGTTGGCCATCTGTATGTTTTTTGGGGGGAAATGCCTATTCAGAGCCTCTGCTCACTTTTAAATCAGGTTGTTTATTTATTTTTGATGTTGAGTTGTTTGTGAAAGTCACTCAGTTGTGTCTGACTCTTTGAGACCCCATGAACTATACAGCCTATGGAATTCTCCAGGCCAGAATACTAGAGTGGGTAGCCTTTCTCTTCTCCAAGGATCTTCCCAATCCAGGGATCGAACCCAGGTCTCCCACGCTGCAGGTTGATTCTTTACCAGCTGCGCCACCAGGGAAGCCTGAGAAAACTGGAGTGGGTAGCCTATCCCTTCTCCAGCAGATCTTCCTGACCCAGGAATTGAACCGGGGTCCCCTTCAGTACAAGCGGATTCTTTACCAGCTGAGCTACCAGGGAATCCCAAATGTGAGTAGTATGAGCGCACATTTAAGCCAGCAGCATGCTCACAGTACTACACAGTTCTACTCAGTTCTCATGCTCTATGAAGACTTACTATTACTTCCTTGAGCAACCAGTATATTCTCTCATTCATCAGGCAGAAGTTTTCCTTAGGGCCCAACTAAGGGAGAGGATCATTCATGGGTTTTATCAGCTCAGAACAGAATCAGCTTTGAATTTAATCATTTATACCATATTCAAATTATAAAACAGAGTTTAAATATTCTGTTAATAAGTAACACATGTTGGTATACTTCTTCTGCAAAGGATTATTCTCAGATCTGGCTCAAGTCTCACTAAGATCATTCAGAATGGAATGAACAATAAATATTTGATGGTATCCTTCCCAAAGCTTCTTGAAAACCAATTTTCAAGAGCCCCAGGGTGTTAACAGTGATCAGATTATAAGATAAACCATTTTTCTCTTGAAACAGAAAGAGACTTCCTGGCTTCTTGAACAGGAATAAGGTAAAACTCTGAGGTCACATCAGACTTTCTCACAAAAAGCCTGCTGTGTTTGTACTGGCTGCATGCCAAAAGGCAGACAGGGAGAAAAGACAGACTTAAGGATAATACATGCCCTCGTACCAAATAAAAAATACCTTCAGAAAGAGCCCACATGAAGAGTTGTTTAGGACAAAACTATCCAGCTCCTCTAAAATCATATTCAAATCGTAGGTCAAGGTGAACATGGCCATGGGCCATGGCAGGTTTGAGATGAATGGTATAAATAAGGCAATTAAAATAGGAAGACTTTCAAAGAGAACCCAATCAGCAAAACTCACAGGAGTATTTATAGTTAATTATATCTGTTAGAAGAATGATCTGAAGTAGCAACCGAATTCCACTTATTTAAATATCAATTACCATAGTAGATTCTATAGCTATCAGGTAAAACTTATAGTCAAAACATATTTCCTGAAGCTAAATTTATAATCATTATAACACTTGATCCTTTTGCTATGCTCCAGAGCTTTGTAAAGTAAGAGACGCAGGCCATTTGTTGCTGTTGCTATGAGACACTTGTTGCTATTGCTATGAGACAAATGTTGACATCACACATTTCTGGAGAAGGAAGGAAAATGATAAGTTCTTACCAAGTAATCATCAGGCTTGATACCAAAAAGTTCTCTGAAATATCGGAATGCTAGTGGAGCATATGTCTTAAATCTGAAGTCTGGGTAGTGATGTGCTGGGGTCAGATTGCTCCCTTCACTGCAGTTAAAATGTTAAAAAAAAAAAAAAAAAAGAGAGAGAGAGATAAAGAACATCAGTAAGGACAATTCTGACTTCAAATTCTAGCTCTATTAGTTCTGTACCAGTTTCCTGTCTAATAAAACATCCCTTGATACTGAGTCTCTCCTAAGCTAGTGTCACAAAGGCCAATGGCCATCAGGGAAAAACAGCTGCTAATGTAGCAAGGGCCACTCCAAACTTGCATCCCCTGCCAGTCACAATGTATCTTCAGCTTGAAAATTCTTCACCCCCCTGTGCCTCCTTTCTGGGAAGATGACTCAATTCTCTCCAATGAAACCACTGCTGTAATGCTTTAGGTATAAGATCCAGTGTTTTGTGCAATTTCAAAAATGCATTTTTTTTTTGGCCCTGAACTTTGAATACTGCATAAAAATTTTAAACTAGGAATAAGTAAAATAACTTAGAAAACGTCTCACCAACAGAAAGAACCAACCAGTGGAAATAGATGGGTGCTGAATCTAAACTCTTTCTTATACCCACAGTTACAGGGAAAAGACCTTAAATACTTAGGAATTTTAAAACCTATTTTCCATTCCCATACATATCATGATTTTCTTCCTCTTCTGGGTTCATCTTTGAAATTTTTTGTGCAAAATTTATGACAGGTATAAGGTATAAGGAGATCAGCAAATACTCATGCACCTAAACTGTTGCTTAAGAAATAAAATATTATTCAGGCAGTTCAATTGCCTTTAGTAGTTTTTATGGATCATATACTCCTCCTTCTCCTCAGAGACATCCACTACTCTGAATTTTTATGTTTATGATGTTTACCATCCATTTTATTCTTTGACTACATGCAGTAATATATTTCACATGACATTACCTTTTTATTGTAAAAAATTTTTTTATTTAGAGGTTCAGAATTCTTTTTCACCACATTCTAGGTGGGACACTGAGGCCAGTCTTTCATGGATATTACACAAATACATTGTACAAATAAAAAGGCTTTCAGCATAAAACAAGTACTTAGAATCCACTACAATTTAAGTTTGCTGAGGTCTGTCAGAATTTTTGTGTCAAGACCTGACACACGGTAGACAATAAGTATTTTTTGAATGAAAAAAATGAGTTTAAGATAATACTAATTCAGTAAACTTGATTCTTAGATGAAGCTTAGGTTCAAAAGTCAACATAAAAGGAAAAAAAATCATATAGTCCAAAATCATCCTTAAAAACTATTTAGGAAATGACCTGTTCAATGTATTGTGCGGCCAGTTTTCCCCATGCATGGTTACAGATGACTGTGTCTTTTGGTGACTTCCAAAAGAAGTAGTAGGCTTATGTTGTTAGGGGCCATCCTATAACAACCAATCTTCTCTGGGAAGGCCAGGACTGCACTTAGGCAGCAGCAAGGCACATACAGGACAGGGGTGACACAGGAATGGAGGCTGCTTGGGAGAAGAACTCACGTATGACCAGATCATCCACTCACTGAAATGGCTATTGTTGCCTTAAGCAAGCACAGTTGAATATTCATAATGCTTGTATGATACCCAGGCAGGGTGTTCAAACATTTCCTTATCCCATATTTTGGGATTTATGAGACATGCATTCAGTTATACATCTTATGGGACTGCCACAGGAATGATTTTGGAACTTACATAATTATAACTTGAAAACATAGGCTGTGTAGAAATAAGAGATTAAGAGCAAAGAGGCTCATAGAGACCTCTGACACCTTTTCTCACTGTTGCAAGCAGGTAATAATCTTTTGCACAACGAAGGAGACTATAAGCAAGGTGAAAAGACAGCCTTCAGAATGGGAGAAAATAATAGCAAATGAAGCAATTGACAAGGAATTAATCTCAAAAATATACAAGCAACTCCTGAAGCTCAATTCCAGAAAAATTAACGACCCAATAAAAAAACAGGCCAAAGAAAACAGACATTTCTCCAAAGAAGACATACAAATGGCTAACAAACACATGAAAAGATGCTCAACATCACTCATTATCAGAGAAATGCAAATCAAAACCACAATGAGGTACCATTACACGCCAGTCAGGATGGCTGCTATCCAAAAGTCTACAAGCAATAAATGCTGGAGAGGGTGTGGAGAAAAGGGAACCCTCTTACACTGTTGGTGGGAATGCAAATTAGTACAGCCACTATGGAAAACAGTGTGGAGATTTCTTAAAAAGCTGGAAATAGAACTGCCATATGACCCAGCAATCCCACTTCTGGGCATACACACCGAGGAAACCAGATCTGAAAGAGACACGTGCACCCCAATGTTCATCGCAGCACTGTTTATAATAGCCAGGACATGGAAGCAACCCAGATGCCCATCAGCAGACGAATGGATGAGGAAGCTGTGGTACATATACACCATGGAATATTACTCAGCCATTAAAAAGAATTCATTTGAATCAGTTCTAATGAGATGGATGAAACTGGAGCCCATTATACAGAGCGAAGTAAGCCAGAAAGATAAAGACCATTACAGTATACTAACACATATATATGGAATTTAGAAAGATGGTAACGATAACCCTATATGCAAAACAGAAAAAGAGACTCAGATGTATAGAACAGACTCGTGGACTCTGTGGGAGGGCAAGGGCAGAATGGTTTGGGAGAATGGCATTGAAACATGTATGTTATCATATGAAACGAATCACCAGTCCAGGTTCGATGCATGATACAGGGTGCTCAGGACTGGTGCACTGGGATGACCCAGAGGGATGGGATGGGGAGGGAGGTTGGAGGGGGGTTCAGGATGGGGAACACATGTACACCCATGGCGGATTCATGTTAATGTATGGCAAAACCAATACAATAAAGTAATTAGCCTCCAATTTAAAAAATTTATATTAAGAAAATAATCTGAAGCAGGCTACTTTCAGTGGGCCAAGAGTGTTGCCACAATTTTTTATTTTCTTCCACTCTGTTATCTCCTTTCTATCTCATGCAGTCAAAATAATTCATTCTTTTTTTTTTTTAAATAATTCATTCTATTACAGATCACCTTCAACATTTAAGAGTAAAATAAAACACCCATTCCACTTACATGGAATTATTCTTTAAATGATTATTCTCATGCAGTTGGGGACCCAAGATTTTATCAGAGAGGATACAGTATTTATTACTATCATTTTTGGTTACTCAGAGCTTCTTGACTTCTTCACCTTTCCCTGAATCTACCACTAATTACAACAGCTTTCCTTGGATTCACATCTCCCTGGCTATTGTGCTTCGTTCTGAAAAGGTGTGAAAAGGATAGTGTTAAGTTTCCCTGGAGATGAGACAGGCACACACACACACACACATACACACACACACNGACAGGCACACACACACACACACACACACACACACACACACACACACAGAACATCTCTAGGTAAAGAAAGGGAACCTTTATTGCTTTACATATCCACCCTGACCCCTGACGGCTAGTATAAAAAGGCATTACATCACTAAAAATGAAAAAAATAAACTGAATCTATTAATAGCTTTTGGTAACATTAAGATATAAAGAAAGGTATGGATCAACTATGATAAAGGCTTGCCTGTATTGGGTCATCAATAAATTATATGTGTAAAATGGAGACAATGAACAGAGAACAAGGATAATACTTAACAGAGGCATTACAGGAAGTGGCAATTTCTTCACAGCATAATTAACAGATATTAATAATTAACTGCTGAGGTTATACAATCTTGAACTTCTCCATTTGCCTGAGTGGAGAGCAATGCTCAGTAGTGGATCATAATACATGACCACTTTTCATTTGTTTTTCTTCTAGTAGATTGTAGTTCATGAATTCTGCTTTCCTTTGATAAATATTAAGATTTGACATTCTCTCAAATCACAGTGGACCCCCTATGTGGGGGCTGAGATACTCCTAACTCCCTGTAGTTCAGCGAGACTTGCATTCAAGTTCCATCTCTGCCACTGACAAGTTGTGCTCTCTGAGACCTGGTACTGAACCTCTAGAAATGACATGGCAGAGTGGGTGAAAATGTGAAAGAAAGGCCATGCCCCAGCACATGTGGAGCCCTCAGTGAGTCTGGATGATTGAGGTTGCATGGAAACAAGAGATAGCCCAAGGTTGAACATGTCACATGAAGAATGAGGTGGCTGGGTTTTTTTTTTGGTTTTAAAAAGCAGGAAAAAGAAAGTTACAAAATGAGAAAATACTGGGTTGGCTAAAAAGTTCACTCGGGTTTTTCCATAGCACTGAACTGAAAAACGCAAACTTTTTGGCCACTCCATCATATGCAACTCATTTCACAAAAAGCTAGCCTCCCAATATAAAGAGCTCTAAGACACAGCAAAGAAAAGGCCAAAAAGTTATATATTAATATTTTTTAAAAATAGCCAAAGGTATAATCAGTCGGTTCACAGAAATGGAAGTACAAATGACTTACACATATGAAAAGATGTTCAACCTCATTTGTCATAGAATAAATGCAAATTAACTGTCACCAAGAGATCATTTTCTCTCTCAGATGAGTAAAAATTTAAAACTTTGCTATAGCTCAAGGGAGACTAGCACCCTGAGCCACTACTAGTAGGAAAGTAAATTGATACTTTTTCTTCGGAGGACATTTTTTACAACTGTCAAAATTACAAATTTATATATAACTCTTGATTTAGAAAATTCATTACTATATGCTAAACTAGTGTTTGTATAAAATGACATATGTGTACCTGGTTATTCATTATGGCACTGTTTAGAATGATGAAGGATTAGAAGCAACTTAGATGTCTCTCAGAAGGGAACCAGTCAGTTAAGTTTCAGTCACACACTGGAATACTATGCAGTTATTACAAAAGAATGAGGAAGCTTATGTAACCTCAGTTATGTAGATAATACCACTCTAATGGCAGAAAGTGAAGAGGAACTAAAGAGCCTCTTGATGAGAGTGAAAGAGGAGAGTGAAAAAGCTGGCTTAAAACTCAACATTCAAAAAACTAAGATCATGGCATCTGGTTCCATCACTTCATG